ATGGGTCCTTCCCATCAGAGAGTGTAGAAATTAGTATCGGAAAGGAAGTCTAGTTCTTACACCAGCGCTTCGCAATGTCTTTCAACTTGAGATCCGTATGCAGGACTTTCAGGATCTAACCCCCAAGTGGCAAGCAATATGAGCGATTAACTGTAACTATCTTGAAAACCAATACGAATGACTGATCCTTTTGTTGTTCTAAGGAAATAGTGTGTACAGCTCCGAGGCCAGAGGAATCATTAGAATGAGTTTGCTCTACGTTTAAATAACCTAATTGTCCTCATTTGTTAAGGCAGGTCTAAAGTTCCAAGTAACCTTAAAGACAATGAAGAACCAGCACTTGAGGGTTTAGCCAAATTAGCAGCATTTGTGGCGTTATTAAAAAGTTAATGCCACCACGTCAATGTATGTGTATAATTCCACCTCCTACCTGCCGCAATGGGACGCTCTGCAGCCCTTATCCATGTGCGTGATTTGTGTCCCTTTGTCCCGAGGGAACCTCCCCCTATCGAAGGGGTCTACATCAGCCCTTTGACTACTCCTGTAATCTTCTCCTCTTTTCTGTGCTACAACCAAACTCCCGATCGAAATCACTCGCGACCGTCCATCCAAAGCTAGTGTCAAGAGTCATCATTCCGTGCAATTCGTAGTATGTACAGTACCAATAGCCAAAAACTTGCCTATAATTGTGGTTACCGTGGACCTATCGCATAAAATTCCAGATAGACGATCTAAGAGGCCATCGAAATAACTGATGGGTACCAGTTCCGATTGCATTATAGTACTTATCACAGAATTCCTGGCCATGACGCATCCGAGTGCATGCTTCCCTCTTTAACCTCCAGTACTCTAGAGCTTCCGTGGCCATTTCCAACCGCAGAGCCAGAGAGGAAATAGGGGTCGGGGTTTCGTCATAATAACCAGAACCCAGCCTCATTCTTCCAATACGGGGGAATTCCGAGCCGCCCCAGTCAACAACCTGTACCGGTGGTACAGATCCGTGAATGATGAGTAACAAACACCAATCCCCGTTCACAATTCGTTTGAAGGCGCCTTATGCAGTCATGATAATGCACAATCCTGCTGTTGATGATGCTTACACGTCTCGACGTATGATGAATTTGGGGATGAAGTGGAACATTCCTTCTTTCAATGACAACCCACCTTTCTGTTTTGCAACATAACTCCCAATGAAACGATAGGTCCACTATTGCAAGCATCTATTCCATACCGTGCCAGTTCCATGTGTTCATGAACTCTGGGTGCGCAGGTTAATATCATCAGTCAAGTTTTTGTTTAAAGATAAGCAGTTATACTGTCCGCGTCGAGAACCAACTACTGTAGACCTCCCTATAGTGGAGTACTTGTTCCCTTCTGTGTGTCCGAGTCAGAACTTTCTCTCACCTTTTCTATCCGAGTAGAGACTTTACATGCTGCTTTCCTTGATGTCGACAGATTACTTTCCCTGGTTGAACCTTCCTAATGAGGATTTTGCTTCTATGAAGGGCTTAATGTACAAGTGCTTGACCCTTACCGATGTTATGCACCACATTGACGACATGGGTCTTCCCGCGCGCATTTTGGGGTTAACCAGCTTAGGAGTCCCTGCTAGGCCTAGGAGGGGACTAGTTCTGTGTGACATCATGTGATGCGCATGTGTGCGTGAGAGCCTCTGTAACCTCTCTTCATTTTCCAAGTTAGACCTACCGAGCAGCAACAGGCAGGCTGGCCCTCCCTTTAACCACAGCTGATAATAAATGAGTTACAATCCTACAGGGTGTGCTTACCTACACGAACCATTGTAATCTCCAACGAAGCCCCGCGACAACACAAACATGCACACACATCACACAACACATCACACACACACACACACAACACACACACACACATCCAAAAAAAAAAAAAAAAAAAAAAAAATAAAAAAAAAAAAAAAAAAAAAAAAAAAATACTGCGTGGAATAGACAAGGTGGACAAGGAACAGGATGTTCCAGGGATGGGACACAGAAACAAGAGGCCACAATTGGAAGTTGAAGACACAAATGAGTATCAGAGAGATAGTAGGAAGTATTTCTTCAGTCATAGAGTTGTAAGGCAGTGGAATAGCCTAGAACAATGACGTAGTGGAGGCAGGAACCATACACAGTTTGAAGCCAGAGTATTGAAAAGCTCAATGAGCGTGGAGAGAGAGGGCCTAGTAGCAACCGTGAAAGAGGCGGGCCAGGAGCTAGGACTCGACCCCTGCAACCACAAATAGTGAGTACAAAAGGTGAGTACACACACACCCACCACACACACACACACACCACACACACACACACCAAAAACACACACAAACACACACACACAGAACACGACCCAAAACACACACACAAACACACACACATACAAAGAAACACACACACACACACACAATTAACCACACACCAACACACACACAAACACACACACACACACACACACACACACAGAACACACATAGACAAACCACACACAAAATCACACACAAACACAACCCTACACAAACACACATGCAAACACACACACACAAACGACACACCACACAGGCAAACACACACTCACACCACACACACACACAACACAAAAACACAGATACACTCACACACACACTCACACACACACATGTATTGAGTCAGGATCCATACGTACTTGAGAATAGGTATGATAAAGCTCACGGAGTCGGGGAAGTATGACTGAGACAGGCTGTTTAAGAGGAGAGGGCCAGGAGCTGTGACTCGTCCCCCCGCGAACCACAACTAGGTGAATACACATAACATACACAACCAGCGAGCACGCAATATACAACAGGCCTAGAGTTTATCACAAGTGCCCGGACAAAAGGGTAACTAACACACACAATGGAGGACAAGAGGGACCTGGTGGACTGGTAACATCACAAAAACGTACTGAGAGGAGATCGACAAGGTGACAGAGATAGATGTTCCAAGATGGGACACAGCAACAAGGAGTCACAGTTAGGAAGTTGCATGACTGAGATGAGTCACATAGAAGTTTGTAGGCAATATTTCTTCAAGTCACAGAGTTAGTCGGACAAGTGGAAAGAGTCTGGAAGTGACGTAACAGGAGAGCAGAAACCATACAAAGACGGAGGTTTTGATGAAGCTCATACAGCAAGTAGAGAGAAGCCGTATAGCGACAGTGAGGAGGCGGGACCAGGAGCAAAAACTCAAACCCCTGCAATCACAATTAGGTTGAGTACAAATGGCGAGTACACACTCCACGCTCACACTCCCCAGATCACATAGAGACGGCAGTAAATAAGTACAGAGGTAGACACTTTGATAAATCTATCTAAATACAATGTTTCCTTGTTACATTATGTTGTCTCTCTTGTTAATAATTTCCTTATACAATTCCACTTTGTAGTCTTATATTAAAGCTGACTGTCCTTTAAATAATAAATTGCGCCATATACTGACGTATAACTATACTAAGTTGAGGATGTTAGTAAGCCTAGAGCTCTTCTGACGAAATATGCTGTATAGTCCTTGGGCTTTAGCGCTTCTTTTTTTATATTATACTTAATAATCACTCCTGACGAATAACTTACTAATTGATGTTGCAGTAGAGCGAGCTTTCTTTCTGCGTAAACTTGTTGAGGTTGAGTTCGTGGAGCTGCGCTCTGTCTGACGTATAACTTACAAAGTTCGGTAGGATGTTAGTGAGCATGAGCTCCTCTGACTACAACTTACTAAGTTAGGTGAGGTTATTAAGAGGAGCTGAAGTCCTCCCGACGTATAACTTTACAAAGTTAGGTGGAATTGTTAGGGAGCTGAGTCTCCCGACGTATAACTTACTAAGTTAGGTGAAGTTGTTAGTGGAGCAGAAGCTACACCAGACGTATAACTTACTAAGTAGGTGAGGTTGTTCGTGGGAGTTGAGCTCTCGCCGACTTATAACTTACTAATTTAGGTGAGGTTATTAGAGTGTATCTGCAAGAGCTCTCCTTCGACGAATAAATGTACTAAGTTCAGGTGAAGTTGATAAGTGGAGCCAGACTTTTCCTGATGTAAAGCTTACTAAGATTAGGTGTAAGTTGTTATGGAGCAGCTCTCCTGACTATAAGCTTACTAAGTTAGGTGAAGGTGTTAAGTGGAGTTACTCTCCCGACGTAATTAACTTACTAAGTATTAGTGTGAGGTTATTAGGAAGCTCGAGCTCTCCTGACGTATAACTTAACTCAGTTAGTGAAGTGTTTAGTGGAGCGAGCTGGTCCTGATGTAAAGCGCTTCTAAGTAGGTGAAGGTTGTTAGTGGAGCTGAGCTTCCCCTGCCGTAGCATTTACTAAGTTAGGTGAGTTTATTAGTAGAGCTGAGCTCTCATGACGTAAGATCTTACTAAGTTAGGTGAGGTGTTAGTAGAGCAGAGCTCCTCATGACGTAGTATCTTACTAAGTTAGGTGAGTTGATAATAAGCTGAGCTCTCATGACGTATAACTTACTACTTTAGGTGAGGTTGGTTAGTAAGCTGAGCTCTCATGACGTATAACGTTATACGTTAGGCTAGGGTTGTTAAAAGAGCTGAGCTCTCATGTCGTATAGCTTCTAAGTAATGTTGAGGTTTGTTTATAAGCAGAGCTCTCCTTTAAACTTACAAACCTCACTATAAAAAGTTCCGTTTATTCAGTGGTTAATGAATAACTATCATATTAACTTAGTATCTATCTTTTCATCACTAATTAAAACATTAAAAAACACGAGTCCCGTTGAAAACTTTTTGTATATTTTATTATTTTCCCTTATTAGATAAAAAGTTAATGTTGGAAATCATTATTTAATTATCCTCACATTATTCCACCCTGAGGTGACTGCTAAATTATTTATCTATGATCTAATTAACATAACAGGACACAGAAGGACTGGATGGAAGGCAGAAAGAAATATGATCGAATTATTAATTCACCAAAGGCCTAAAATATCTCGGTAATAATAACCAATTGTGCATGGGAAAAAACTTACCTGAGTGAGGGCATACTCTTGCCCTTAATCAGACCAGCAGTGTTGAAACCTTGGTGATGAGGTACACGGCTGATTGTCGTACCTCCACAAACATCTCTAGAGCAGAGTTTGAGCCTTGAATTCTCTCGCATCTATAATCCCAGGAAGCTGCCTACCAAACTCTCCACCAGCTCCACCCTGTGCAGTAACAACTCATTACTTTCACTCTACTAATTGTGGTTATTTGTGTAACCAAACATCAAACATATTACCAACTTATAAGAAATACCTGATAAGAAAAATGATAGTGCATCCTTCATAATGGTGCATCCTTCATGATAGTGCATCCTTCATAATGGTGCATCCTTCATGATAGGGCATCCTTCATAATGGTGCACCCTTCATGTGTGCATCCGTTCATGATAGTGCATCCTTCATGATAGTGCATCCTTCATACAAATGGTGCAATCCCTCTGGAAAGTGCATCCTTCATAATGGTGCATCCTTCATGATAGTGCATCCTTCATAATGGTGCATCCTTCATGATAGTGCATCCTTCATAATGGTGCATCCTTCATGATAGTGCATCCCCCCCCCCCCCACCTACATCTAGTGCCTCCTTCAAAATGGATGCATCCTTCATGAAAGTGCATCCTTCATGATAGTGTCATCCTTTCATAATGGTGCATCCTTCTGATAGTGATCCTTCATAATGGTGAAATCCTTCCATCATGATATGCATCCTTCATAATGGTTGCCTCCTTCATGTAGTGCAACCTTCATAATAGAGCATCCTTCATAATGGTGCACATCCTTCAAGATAGTGCATGCCTTCATGATAGTGCAGACCTTCATAATGGTTGCAACCTTCATGATAGTGCATCTTCAATGATAGTTCATCATCCTTCATAGATAGTGCCATCCTTCATATAGGTGCGAACCTTCATGATAGTGCAACCTTTCATGATAGACATCCTTCATGATAGTGCCTCTTCATGATAGTGCATCCTTCATAGATATGCATCCGTCATAATGGTGCATCCTTCATGATAGTGCATCCTTCATGATAGTGCATCCTTCATGATAGTGCATCCTTCATGATAGTGCATCCTTCATGATAGTGCATCCTTCATAATGGTGCATCCTTCATGATAGTGCATCCTTCATGATAGTGCATCCTTCATGATAGTGCATCCTTCATGATAGTGCATCCTTCATGATAGTGCATCCTTCATAATGGTGCATCCTTCATGATAGTGCATCCTTCATGATAGCACATCCTTCATAATAGTGCATCCTTCATAATAGTGCATCCTTCATAATAGTACATCCTTCATAATAGTACATCCTTCATAATAGTGCATCCTTCATAATAGTACATCCTTCATGATAGTGCATCCTTCATAATAGTACATCCTTCATGATAGTGCATCCTTCATAATAGTACATCCTTCATAATAGTACATCCTTCATAATAGTGCATCCTTCATAATGGTGCATCCTTCATAATGGTGCATCCTTCATAATAGTACATCCTTCAAATTGGTGCATCCTTCATAATAGTGCATCCTTCATAATGGTGCATCCTTCATAATAGTACATCCTTCATAATAGTGCATCCTTCATAATGGTGCATCCTTCATAATGGTGCATCCTTCATAATGGTGCATCCTTCATAATAGTACAATCCTTCAAATGGTGGCCTCCTTTCATAATAGTGCATAAACTTCATAATGGTGCATCCTTCATAATAGTACATCCTTCATTAATAGTGCATCATTCATAATGTGCACGCTTTCATATAGTAACATCCTTCATAATAAAATAGACATCCTTCATATAGTACATCCTTCATAATAGTACATCCTTCATAATGGTGCATCCTTCATAATGGTGCATCCTTCATAATAGTACATCCTTCATAATAGTGCATCCATCATGATAGTGCATCCTTCATGATAGCACATCCTTCATGATAGCACATCTTTCATGATAGCACATCCTTCATGGAACAGCACAACCCTTCATGATAAGCACATCCTCATGACAGGAACATCCTTCATGAAGCAACACATCCTGTCATGACAGAACATCCTTCATGATAGCACATCCTTCATGATAGCACATCCTTCATGACAGAACATCCTTCATGATAGCACATCCTTCATGACAGAACATCCTTCATGATAGCACATCCTTCATGATAGCACATCCTTCATGACAGAACATCCTTCATGATAGCACATCCTTCATTAAAAAGGCACATCCTTCATGACAGAACATCCTTCATGATAGCACATCCTTCATGATAGCACATCCTTCATGACAGAACATCCTTCATGATAGCACATCCTTCATGATAGCACATCCTTCATGACAGCACATCTTCATGTATGCCATACCTTCATGATATCACATTCCTCATGATAGCACATCCTTCATGACAGAACATCCTTCATGACAGCACATCCTTCATGACAGAACATCCTTCATGATAGCACATCCTTCATGATAGCACATCCCTTATAATGACACTTTCTTTTTCGTACTTTCTTCATGATATCGCATCCTTCAAATCTCTTCTGAGTGAGATACATGTGTAACAGCTGGGTATTATTATTGTCGACACGTCTGGCCTACTCAGAAGGTTGCTTCACCTGGGTACAGAGGTGACTGACACTAAGTACTGCCTCACAACTTTAGTAATGGAGAAGCAATTTTGATTTTATCCGACCCTCAGTATTAATCTATATTTAGGACATTAACATTTATCAAAGTTAAGGAACTGACCACATCAAAATTGCTTCTTTCTTATCAAGGCTGAGCGACTGATCTTTTTTATACTTTTCCAGTGTTTCTGCTGTCTTCAGTAATTAAGTCACTCTTGTATTCAACTGAAGAAGCCAAGGATGTAAAACCTTCAACAATAAAGATTGAAGATTGAGACACTTATGCAGCATATGAGAATCTTTATTCAGGAAACGTTTCGCCACACAGTGGCTTCATCAGTCCAATACAAAGAGGAAGGCGTAAGGAGAGGAGGAGTGTGAGGTAATCAGTCCCTCAGGACCTGGAGTCGATTGTTTCAGAGATCCATCAAACTTGTAGAATGTACAGCAAAGGGCCAACAGGGGAACTCAGTGGTAACCTCAACCTCACAAACCATTGAATGCATACTCGTACCTGTGAGAACAGAGAATCGATTTCTAACCTTCACATCTTCTCTTTCAATTCTTCTATACATTAAACTATTCTTACCTTGATTAACAGGGGAATCAGTGTACCGTTTTCAGCCTCACTAACACTGAAGTGCACTCTTCCTTTTGAAAAGAGATCGATTTCCTACACTGTCACCTCTTCTTGTTAACCCCTCCTTATCTTCCTTTTTCCTGAGCTGTGCACCACTTTGCCACGTAAAGCGGCTGCCACTAATCACTGCAAGTGACCATTTCTTTCTTACCAGCTAAATCCTTTTCACAATCGCTGCCCAGACTCATCTAGGGCGAAGCTTCAGCCTCCTATTTTCCCTCCTGAAGAAGTAGAACCTCATTCTTCAACACTTTAACCTGAGATTCTAAATACATACACAACAAACAAGGTGCTTGGGCAACACCCCACGCTACTCCGAGAGCTTAGGACAGTATGAACCGCAGGTGGATTGAAGGTAATCATGAAACAATAGGTGGAAGGCGAACATGGCCCAGGTAACAAATTTATGGAGAATTCGGTGGTTTGCAAGGGGAAGGAAGCGGCCTCTCAAAGTAATTTTCAAGTCAGAAAAATGTGACCATGATACTGCAGCGAAAAAAGCAACGACTGATGAGCAAAAAAGGAGTATGCGAAGATTGTTCCTACGCTCGAGACAGAACACAAGAGTAAAGGATGAACCTGAAAGTGAGAGTACAAAAATGAAAGGAAGAATGAGAGGAAATGACAAAGATGAGCAGAAGAACCCAGACACAGGTGGAAGGGCAAACACTCCCTCCAGAAACACCCCCAGAATTACTCCAACCATGACAACCCCAAGGCAAATGAACTATCTAAACTAAGAATCACACACTGATCCCTCTGTCTCCACCCCCACACCACAAACCCCACCCCTACAGCAACCCCGTATGAGAACCCTGACCCTAACCCTCTCCACAACTCCCAACAGGCTCCCACCAGGGTGCCCACTCCCCCAATCCCAATATTCTGCCAAGACCCCGGTGTTAAAAAAAATGTTGAAGGTTTGGTACATGAATGCAGAGGGAATAATGAATAAATTGGAGGAGTGGCATAAAAGAATCAATGAGAAGTCCCCAGACATCATAGTAGTCACAGAAATGAAACTCTATGATATAATAACAGATGCAATCTTCCCACCAGGATATCAGATCATGAGGAAAGATAGAAGAAGCAGAAGGGGAGGAGGGATTGCATTGCTCGTAAAAAACGATGAAGATTTGAGGAAATGGAGGCATGGATGAGATTGGAGAAAGGGATTACATAGTAAGGTACAAACACTCCAGTCCTGGGCCAGAAGGCAGTCATTGCATGATGTACAATCCACCAAAGAACTGTTGGAGGCCACGAGAGGAACAGATGAGAGCCAACAGAAACACTGGTGGAAACACACTGGCTGAGGTGGGCAATAAAGGACTCACTAGAGCATAGCAACAAAAGGCACTATTAGGGGCAATTTCAACCACATGGAGATCGACTAACTGGGAAAATCTGGCAGTCACAACGTGGGCCCAGAAACATGATAGCCAAGATGATGGTATGTGATTCTGAAAACCTTCTGCCATCAACATAAAGGGCCACACTTACCGGAGAGAGAAGGGGGAGGAGACCAGCAAAAATGTACCTCGTGTATCACCCTGAGCTTACAGACTTATGAGGGCCCTTGGAGCTAATGACGAAGTGGTTTTCTCTGTCCTTTGAATTCATATAGAGATTACAATTAGCGAGGGTAAGCAGGAAGGTTGAATGGGAAAAAAGCAAACATAAAAGAGGAAACACACAACATGAGGAACGTTCCTCAGGAGGTTCAGTGGGACAGGGAATTGTGTAGAGAAATCAGAAAAGAAATGATGGAATAGTAACCTACAAAATGCAAGTAGGCCAGAGAAAGTTTTTCCCAAGGGCAACAGAATTAATGAGTAAGACCAAAACGAGCACTCGTTTACACCCGAAGGTGTAAGGAGGCAAAAACT